TATATGCATTTTTACAAAGATGATGACCAAACTCCTATAAAAACGTTTTCATGTTTAGACCCCTGTTAATAAAATCTAAACAAATAACTATGCAGGTTGTTTTAGTCTTTTTAATATTTGTAAAAATTGTGACTTTCTCATTTTAAAATCATACAAAGATAGGGTCAGTTTGTTGGATTGTGACTGTGATAAATTTAATCTCAAAATTAAAATTTTATCTTTTTTAATCACAAGTGATTTGTTACTTCTAATTCTTAGTATTATTAGAATGACTTATACTGTACATTTCTGTAGTTTTGAATTTAAATACTATTTTCTTGTTACCGTATTTTTTGCTGTACACATCGCACCGCCCTGTAAGTCGCATCAGTCTAAATATGTCTAATAAAGTGGAAAAATCCATAAATATGTCGCTTCGCCAAATACGTCGCATCTATTATGCATCACCGCTGACAACCAGGAAATGTGGGCCGGTGTTGTGCCAAAAATCGATTGGCTGCCAAATGGCGGCCACAGAGGCGTGCACGGGAGGACTTTAACAAAAAATTTAATAAGATAACCACATTAAAAACTATTATTTGTTTGCTCGAAATTATAGTAAAGTTATGTCTCAGTCTAACTTTTCTTTAATAAATGCACTTTGACGGTCAAATCAGCTGCATTTTCAAAGCCGATACGTGGAAACATGAACGTGCAGAGGGTGACTCGTGCATTGCTTTGAAATTTAACAAGACAAGCACCTAAAACAATTATTTGTTTGCTCAACTTTATAGTAAAGGTGTGTCTCAGTTGAACTTTTATTTAATAAATGCACTTCAATGGTCAAATTAGCTGCAATTCGCCGGGGCGGTGCAGCGAAACGAAGCTGATTTGACAGGTGCTCCAGGCAGACTACTTTGTCAGTCTTTGGCAAGCCGATTGTGTCATTAATAGCCACATTTACCTATTACATGATACAACAGCATGCCATACAGCTGGAGTGCCATCTAGTGGCTGAAAATAATAATGTTCAATATTTTCAATGTTAGTATGAGTGAAAACGGTCATATCTCAGCCAGAAATTGGTTTATAATTATGGGAAGAATAAAAAACATAAATACGTCGCTTCGGTGTATAAGTCTCAGGGCATGTAAATTGTGCAAAAAACTGCGACTTATAGGGTGAAAAATATGGTAGTTTTGGTCAAAGCTCCAGAGAGCTGCTGCAAAGGAAAGCTGCATGTGGTCCCAGAGCCGCAGTCTGCAGACTGCTGTTCCTTACTACTGTAGATTTAATGCAAAACAGTTCAATAAACACAACCACAGGTGAACAGCAACACACAACATATTCTACTGTGTCAATATTTAGAAAACAAAAACTCAACCAAAAAAGCAGAAGCAGTTTGTGAAAACTAAATCCACCAAAGAAGTTCGAATGAAGATGAAGACCAAACTAACATAACAGTTTCCACATGATGCATCAGTCACTTGCTGCTGATCACATGCATTTCTTAACTGATCATTGTCAGTGTGAGCAGCTCTATAAAAGCAGGAGTGTTGTCAGGTTGCTGCTCTGGAGCATGCAGGTGTGTGTGTAAGCACAATGCCAAGCAGGAAAGACATCAGTAATGTTATTAGATATTTGTACTAAATCTGGTAATGTTGTTTGGCATCATAGTGAAATCATTAAAGACACCTGCTTGTCTTAACAAGTAAGTCTTCCTTGAAGTGAGACTGTGCAATGTTCAAAACGTTTACCCATAATGCACTGCGGCACATTAGGTAAATGGTAAATGAACTGTACTTATATAGCGCCTTTCTATCTTATTTCAAGACACTCAAAGCGCTTCACACTACAATCTGTGTCCTCATTTACCCATTCATACAGCACTCTACTAGATCTCTACAAAGCTAATTGAACAAATCATTCTAATGAGACTAATCAGAGCTTTAGATCACATTCATACACCGATGGGACACACATCAGAGGCTATGAGGGGTTCAGTGTCTTGCCCAGGGACACTTCAGCATGTGACTGCTGGTGGATTCGAACTCCCAACTCTCGCATTGGTGGACGACTGCTCTAACCACTCAGCCACAGCCGCCCCACATAGGTGAAAATCATAAACAGCATATGAACACAAATTCCTCCTCACACCAACCATCAGGCACAGGTGGTCTCAAGTCTTCAGGTCTCTCTTGTAAATGAGTCCCCGAGGCTCAAAGGGATTAACCTAATAAATAAAGGTTGAATGAGAAAAGGGGGAGGGATGATGGTTTGGGCTTATTTTGCAGCCATATGACCTGGACTCCATGCAGTCACTGAGCAGACAGTGAACTCTCCTATAGGGCAAAATATTCTGGGGACAAATGCGAGGACATCTGCCCTACAGCTGGAACTTGGACCAAACTGGGTCATTAAACAGAACAATGATCCTAAACTGAGCAGCAAATTTACAACTACATGACTGAAAAGGATTATAAATGTGATGTTGCTGTATCAGTTGAAATCATGTTATTTGACCTACACCTGCCTCGATGTAAAAGCATAAATAAGTTTGGGTCAAAAGGTTTCCACTCTGTGTTAAAGACAGATAAAGTCCTATAGAGGACAATAACTGAGACGTCATGCTGCTAAACATGGTTCAAGATGTTGACTCAGGACTGGATTTAGTTTCTCACCAGCTGAAGCTATGTATGCACTATTTAAAGAGTTTTAATAAATAGATAAGTTTTTATAGATTTGTTTTCTCCTAACTGAAGCAGAGTGTGGTTTCTGTTTTACATGACTGTTCTATGTGTCTGCAGTTACTTGGCTACAGAGGCAAAGACCCCCTTGGCCTACAGATTTTTATTGGTACAGCAGATGAGCGCATCCTCAAGCCCCACGCTTTTTACCAAGTTCATCGGATCACCGGCAAGACAGTCACCACCACCAGCTTTGAGAAGATCATCAACGGCACCAAAGTCCTTGAGATCCCACTGGAGCCAAAGAACAACATGAAAGCAATGTGAGTCCGCTTCAGTCCAACTTTGCTGTAAAATTTCTACCCGCAGGTCTGCTCACACCCGTCCATCTTTCTCCTCAGAATTGACTGTGCTGGGATTCTAAAGCTCAGAAATGCTGATATTGAATTGAGGAAAGGCGAGACAGACGTTGGGCGGAAAAACACCCGAGTTCGTCTGGTGTTTCGTGTGCACATACCCCAGCCTGGAGGACAGCACGTCTCTCTCCAAGTGGCCTCACATCCCATTGAGTGCTGTAAGCAGTGAACACATCTATGAGTCTCCTTTCATCGCTTTAGTTTTTGCTTTTCTTGAAAATGGTTTAAGTACAGAGAGATTTTTGACTTCTTAAATTCTTCGTGCTTTCCATTGAGGCCAAACTGCTTGTCCACATTTAACAAAACTTTATACAAAGTAAACATCATTAAAAAGGAACCCACATTCAAATGAGCATGTAGCCAGCATTTTGTGCATAAAGAGCTTTTCATTCAAGCAGGGCTTCCATCCAGTGAGTGCTCTGCTTGCTTCAGGGAACCTGTTTGGATGTACTCAGTAAGGCCTGCTTGGGGACACTGATGCATGTTTACACAGCGTTATTAAAGTTCCTGGTGTAATCGCAACTCAAACAAAAATGCTCCTTATCTACCTTCAGAAAACCATTTCTTCAAGTAGGCCTGTCACGATAAACACTAAATCAATTAATCGCATGATAAATTAAAATTATCTACCCCATTTTCATTTATCGGCTTTATTGTTTCTTTATGTCTCTCTCTTTCTACTGAAGACACTGGATGACAAAAGGCTCAACTCTGGTGCTCTTCACTGACCCCTGCCTTTCTCTGTTCTCTTTAAAGTCCATTTTAACTGTCCAACATTGTGTTTTTGGATCATTAAAAGCAGCTAAGCTAAGAAGCTGAGCTATGAGCTAAGCTAACAGGTCAACCTCAGGAAAAAAACCTCTGTCTTGTCAAAGCTCCAAAATTCACGGTTGAAACCTGTGCCTTCGTGTAAAAAGTTGTTTTTCTCTGCAAAAAGAAGCTGAGAACTTAACTGATTTTTTATTAAAAGCTTTGTGTGAAAAATGCTATGCTAAAGAGCTTACACCACACCGAGCGTCCACTATTTTGAGAACCACAAAACAGGAAGAGAGACAGCCCATGTCACGTCAAGGGGCCTCCCTCCCATTTTTCTTAAAGAGACACGCTGCTCACACCATCTCTATCCATCCTTCGGGTCAAACAGTCTAATACTGCCATCCAGTGGTCTAAAAATGTACTACACACAAAAATTAACCAACATTCCTTCTTAAATTTGACATTAATTATTAATTATTGTCAAATTTCAAGCAATATTATCATTTATCTTGATAATTTCTGAGACAATTATTTGCCCAGCAAAATTTGTTATCATGACAGCCCTATCTTCAAGTATGATTTGCTTCATGCAGTTTCTGTTACTAAAACGAAGGTGTACCACAAAATCTCTTGCTAATGGTTTCCCATCTTGTCTCCAGTGACGTAAAAGGCTGGAACAAATGTTGCAACATGTCATAGGACAGATGATCTGTCATGCCTGCTGACTGCAGCATCCTCTTTGTTTTGTCCATTTACAGTAAAGTAGGAGGAACTAACCTGTTCAAAGGTACTAAAGTCAACTTCCTTCATTAAGTGCAGAGTTTTATCTGAATCAATGGCTTCTTGTTACAGCTGAGCAGAAAGTCCAACTCATCCAGAAACTGGTTTCAGAAGAAATTAGACATTTTAGAAATTTCCTTTCCCCTCAGACAAGAAAAAAACAGATTGGTTTGAATTGATTTGATTTAAAAACCCACTTGGTGCACAAAGGGCAGCCTTTATCGGGTGTTAGATCACACCTGAGGGAAACCTGACTGGAAACTAACCAGCTGAAGAAAAGTTGACTTTAACAGCTGGATAACAGCAGCCAGCCATGAGATCTGTTCCATGCACTTCATCCTATCCAAACAGCTAATCTTTTCCAATTTTAATTTTAATTTTTTTTTTAGCTACTTAAAATAAACCATACACAAAGAAATATCTAGGCTACCTGTTAAACTGAATAACTTTATCAAATAATTGAAATAATACTTGATTGTGCTTGTGTTTGATTTTGGAACCTTATATGTTTTTGTAAACTATGATTGTACATTACAGGTCCAACATTTATGACTTGATTAGAAGTTTTTGTGTTTTTTGTTTCTGAATATATCCCATATGATTTTAAATATTCTAAACACACATTGTTTTTAGTATAAAGTAATTCATCAGTAATTTAATTGACATTATCCCTACAGTCTGTAGACAACATTAACAAAATAAATTGTATTATTATCATGTTTTTTTTTTATTTTCCAAGTATTTAAAACGTTTTGCTAAAATTTAAGGCCACCCACTTTCAATCAGGTCCACTTGTAAATTAATTCCTGTCTTACCCAACATAGATGTGCGATCAGTGGAGCAGCTGAGCAGCTGCACCCACTTTTTTGTCCACCATTGAAGAGGGGGAATTGGAAATACCCTCTGTCCACCCATGCACGTTGTAAACATGAAAACTTGAAAAGCAACTGTTACCGACTTCCATTTTGGTGTGTTGCTTTTTTTTTCTTCCTGGCTTTGAATCTGACAGAACAAAGTAAAATCATTGAGATTGTGCTATTTAAAAGGACATGATGCCCACAAGGTTTTAAAAGTGGTAATATATTTATGCTTGTCCCATTAAACTAATTAATCAAAATAGACTCATGACAATTATAATTCAATTCAATTCAGTTTATTTCTCAGGACACATTACAGGAACATTCACATAAAAGCCAATTAGTAAAGTTCTCTATCTAAGGAATCCAGCAGACAAGTTGAATCTTGGCTTCGTTGCAGTCTCCCATCCTGAGCAAGCACAGTGGCAACAGTGGAAAGAAAAACTCCCTTTTAAAAGGAAGAAACCTCCAGCAGAACCAGGCTCAGGACAAGCGGCCATCTGCTTTGACCGGCTGGTTGAGAGGACAGGAAGGAGAGACAGACGAACATAGAATGGCAGGTCCAGGTGTATCTGAAAGACAAAAAAACACATGTTAAGGATAGAAAAAACAATTACAAATACAAAACAGGTTGAGTAGAGAAAGTAAAGACAGTAGCAGAGTGAAAACTGTGGTCAGTTTGTCCTCCAGCAGTCTAAGCCTATAGCAGCATAACTAAGGGACAGCTCAGGAAGCCCAAGCCGACCCTAACTATAGGATTTAGCAAAAAGGAAAGTCTTAAGCCTAGTTTTAAAACTGGATAATGTGTCAGCCTCACGGACAGAGATTGGAAGTTGGTTCCACAAGAGAGGAGCCTGATAACTGAAAGATCTGCCTTCCATTCTGTTTTTGTAAATTCTAGGAACCACAAGTAAACCTGCAGTCTGAGAGCGAAGTGCTCTGTTAGGAAAATATGGAATAATAAGATCTGTAATATAAGATGGAGCTAGGTTGTTGAGAGCTTTGTAGGTTAGAAGTAAGATTTGAATTCTATTCTGGATTTGACAGGGAGCCAATGGAGAGAAACTAAAACTGGAGAGATATGATCTCTCCCAGTAACTCCAGTTAAGACTCTGGCAGCAGCATTTTGGATCAACTGAAGACGTTTTAAAGACAGATAATAAATCATTGCAATAGTCCAGTCTAGACGTGACAAATGCAAGAACCAGTTTTTCTGCATCATTTTTAGATAAGATGTTTCTAATGTTAGTGATATTACGCAGGTGGAAGAAGGCAGTTCTAGAAACGTTTTTAATGTGGAGGATAAAAGACATGTCCTGATCAAAAATAACACCAAGATTTTTAACATTAGAGCTGGAGGACAGATTAATGCCATCTAAGGAGGGAGGAAGACTGAAAAATTAATTCCTAAGGTGCTCAGGTCCAAAAACCAAAATTTCAGTCTTGTCTGTGTTCAACAGGAAAAAATTAAGGGTCATCCAGGTTTTTATGTCTTTAAGACATGCTTGTAGTCTAAGTAGCTGACTGGATTCATTGGGTTTAATGGACAAATATAATTGTGTGTCATCAGCATAACAATGGAAATTTATCCATAACTTTACCTAATGGAAGCATATATAAAGTAAAGAGTATTGGCCCAAGCACAGAGCCTTGAGGAACTCCATGACTAACTTTGGTGTATGAAGAAGATTTATTATTTACATTTACAAACTGGAATCTATCAGATAGATATGATTTAAACCATTTTAGATCTGTTCCTGTAATCCCAATATCATATTCAAGCCTCTGTAGTAAAATATTGTGATCAACTGTATCAAATGCAGCACTGAGGTCTAACAGGACCAGTATAGACACAAGTCCATTGTCTGAGGCCATGAGAATATCATTAGTGACTTTTACTAGTGCTGTTTCTGTGCTATGATGAGCTCTAAACCCTGACTGAAACTCTTCAAACAGATTATTTCTTTGTAGATGTTCACGCAACTGACCTGCAACTATTTTCTCTAGAATTTTTTAGATGAAAGTTAGATTAGATATAGGTCTATAGTTGGCCAGAATTTCAGAATCAAGATCAGACTTCTTAAGTAAAGGTTTAATTACAGCAACCTTAAAACACTGTGGTACATAACCATCCATTAAAGACAAATTAAGTAGATCCAAAATGTGGACATTAATTAGGGGAAATACCTCTTTAAACAGTCTGGTTGGGATGGGATCTAGCAGGCATGTGGATGGTTTGGATGAGGTTATTATTTTTGACAATTCAGAGCTCAACAGGACAAAAACTGTCCAAACATAAATCAGGCTCTAGTGAAATATTTAAAGTTGTCTCATTTGACAGAGGACTAGAGATAGTATATATACAGATGAACAAAAATATTTTTAGAGCAAAATTGTTTGGAAAAATATGGAACAAGGCTATTTTAATTGAACGCGCTGCTCGCTTCGGCTTTTGTAGCTTCCAATACTTCCTTCTCCGTAGATGACAGCAGGTGTGGAGACGTGCGGCTGGTGATCAGGTGATCCATCTGAAGCTTACCGGGACATTTTTTACCTCTTTCAACTGTCCAGTCAGCAGACGCGCGCAGCTGATGATCCCCTTGTCCATCTGAAGCTTATAACATTTTTTTACCTCTTTAAACCAGCTGGTCGGACCTGCCTCCTCCTCTACAAGTAGATTAACACAATTTTATATTGTGCATTCTTATTTAGTTTTCTTTGTGCTGTATGATTTGTAAAACTGCATCAAAAGCCTGAGACCAACCCAGCCTGCCCATCAAGCACATCAATGTGGCCCGACGGGCCCAGGCTCAAAATAGAAATTGCAGCTCTAACAAAGAGTCATTGAAATACCACCAGTGTATGAGTGTGAACAGGAAAACAAGATGCTGTGTAACCATATAAATGGTTTGATATAACTATTTATATCAAATTACATCAGTATTTGTGATCCTTTTTTTTGTCCCCTTCCTGTAAATCACTTTACTCTGCATAAGCTAAGTCTTCTCTCTTCCAACCTCCACAAGTTGTGATTTGACTCATTTCAAATGATACTTATCAGTAGTAAAAGTAAGAGTCATATCTGTGATTCCTGAACAACTCATTCCCACTTCTTTGTTGTAAAGTGTCTTGTCACTTCTGGGTAATTACTTTTCTCTTGAGAAAAAACAACTAATTATCATGTATCATGTATGTATGGGTCATGTATCTGTAAAGAAAACTCAAATCACCACCGTGCTGACAGCTGGTAGATGCCTTACTTTAGGTTCGAGGTATGGATATCTATTTTTTTCACCAGATGACCGGCATGACTCATTTTCAGGTTAAAATGCCAAATTGAATAATCCAGGCTCTGTCCATCAGCCAAAAAAGACGTTACATTTATATGAATATAAAACAAACAAATAAAACCATAAAAACTGAGCCAGTAAAGTTCTCCACCCCTCTGTGTGTTTCTGCAGCTCAACGTTCAGCACATGAGCTTCCCATGGTGGAGAAGCAGGACTTGGACAGCTGCTCTGTTCTGGGTGGTCAGCAGATGATCCTGACTGGGCAGAACTTCAGCTCTGACTCAAAGGTCATTTTTCTGGAGAAGACTCAGGGTGAGTTTTATATCAATCTACAAAACATCTATTTCATTACAGTCTCACAGTCACACCACAGCACTGGACAGATAACGGAGAACTCAGGAGCCATAGTCTTTGTGCAACAAGTTTTTGCTGTTACCTTTCTTCTCCCAGCCATTGTTGTACAGATGGACTCATGAGTTATAACATTTGCATGATCCCAAGGATACTACCTTACTTCCGTCTGCCCTTTTCTCCCTCATTGGCTTCCATTTTGTCTTATCAAAGGATATTTTTGTTACACAGATAACGACTGGGCATCACATCAGAAGAGATGTGTGTGTTTTTGAACACCTAGTTTATGAATGATGTTCACCTTTACTGTCTTACAGTCATGGAAAAAATGATTGTCCACACTTTCACTTCTGGGGTTTTACACATCAAGACAAAAATGATCTGCTGTTTACCAGGTTTGAGATTATTCAAATTTTACTAGACCAACATAAACACAGCAGATTCAACAACATGTTGGTATTTATTAAACAAAAATGAAGGAAAATGGAAAAGCTGTGTGTAAAAAAACTTGGTCTACTGCAGGATCCAGCAGCTCATTTGGCTGCAGTGACCTTCAGATTTGGTTTTCTGCAGGGATTTTTAACAGAAATTCAGTTTCTCATGTTGTGGTAGAGGAATTTTGGCCCACTCTTCTTTACAGCATTGCTTCAATTCGTTGAGGTTTGTGGTTAATGGTTTCTGCTTAGCTCTTAAGGTCCTACCACAGGATCTGAATCACGTTGAGACCTGAACTTTGCCTGGATCATCATCTTGACTCCTGTTTCTTCAGCTGTTCTGTTGCAGATTTGTTGCTGTGTTTAGGATCTCTGTCCTCTCTTAAGATCCAGTCTAATCTAAGCTTCAGATGTCAGACAGCTGGCCTCCTATTAGTCTCATCCTTTGTCTGCAGATGAGTTCATGGTCACCTCAGTGGCTGCAAGGTGCCCAGATCCTGTGGCAGCAAAACAGTCAACCCTTCAGCGCCACGCTTCACACTTGGTTTGAGGTGTTTGAATCAACATGCAGTATTTGGTTTTTTCCAGACAAGCTGCTGTGCATTATGGGTAAACTTTTCTGCTTGGTGTATTTTTGTACCCTCTGAGTTAGTTGAGGATATTTAGAACTTGGTAAAACTAGATTATTTTTATTTTGTCCTAAAATTAAATCCTAGAACTGAAAAAGTTTGGACTTTCCCACGACTGTATTTATGGTCTTACATGAAGTCCGCGGTCCTAAACTTTAAGGTTTTACTGTGTTTTCATGGCTCTGGGCTCATGTGCTGCACTGGTTCAGTCACTTCTCAACACTCTGCCTGTAGATGCTGGTAGAAAGGTTTGAAGGTGCAGTTTTGATGGTTGCTTTACTCGTTTGATCTTGTGTCTCCCTGGCTCTGTTGGGCTCTCTCAGCAAAAAAGTTTCTTCGTTTTGAAGTTATAGACAGCACCCCCCCCCCCCCCCCAAAAAAAAAAAACCCTAACAAACAAACAAAAAACTCCACACATGTTGCATGTCCTTGTTACATTTTTGGGGGGGATTCCCTATTGCTGTGTTACAACACTACACAGTAACATGGAGAGGAAAAATAAGAGCCTCCAAAGGGATTGCCGTTGTTTTGGAGAGTTTCTTTATGACACAAAGTTCTGGACCGGTCCAGATGTGGAATCCCTCTGAATGAGACAGCTGCATCTGGCTGGAGCTCCCCTGATTTTTGTCCTTGGACGAAGAAAGTCATCTGGAGAAAAGGAAAGATTCCCGGGCCAAGTTAAAGCTACTCTTCATCACACCCCCTCTCCGCCTCCTCTCACAATTATTCCTGGTGGGAGAGACAATCGGGGTATCCCTTAGTGAAGAACTGAAACAAATGCAAACAACTGCAAATGCCAAGAAAGCTGTCACCACATTATGTAAGAGAGTTTCTCATAAAACTAAAATCTAAAATTAAAAACCAACTTGGCAGCGTGTGTAAAATGCCCCTCTCTGGTGCTGACTCATTTAATCCATGTGTTCTTAATCTGTAATTTGATCGAGGGCTTCCCACCTACAGAAACAGTGAACCAGAACTCCACATGTTTCTGAGCATGTGCTGTTTGCACCACTGGTTTTGAACTTGTGGCCCTAAATGACTTCTTGAATTTAATCTGATGAAGTGAGATGTAACATAAACCATTATCACATTAAGCAGCCTGAACATCTGTGGTTCTTGTCACATCCTCCGTAACATTAACAGTCTGTCAGCGCTGCGTTCAGGAGCACACGCTTGTGTCTCTTCTACTGTCAAACGTCTTTATGATTAATGAACAACTGTGGGGGCGTGTATCTGTGTGGGTGTGTGTGTGTGTGTGCATGGTGTAAACCTACAGATTCTGTTTTTAGTTGTGTCTGTTAGTGTGACAGGAAGTGGTTTTATCTACAAGCACAAGCTGTTGCTACAAGTTTTAGGTCGACGTAGCTGAGAAACGAAATAAACAAGAACTGCTTTGAATAATCAAAGAGAAAAAAAATTCACTTTGCATTTATGTTTTTCATTAAAGCCTCCATATTACCACTAATGAGGATTTTTCAAACAAATCTTATCAATTTGACCACACTGACTGATATTAGGTTCTCCTTTTACTTCTTAGATGGCCAACAAATCTGGGAGATGGAAGCAACCGTGGACAAAGATAAGAGCCAGCCAGTATGTGTTATTTGTCAGACAGTGTTATATCTGTAATATTTGGTAGCTTATCTTTACAAAACGACCAGGATGGGGTTGTCATAGAGCTTTGTTTTGCAGAGCATGCTGTTTGTAGAGGTCCCATCTTACCGGGACACATCTGTGTGCCATTCTGTCAAAGTTAACTTCTACGTGATCAACGGCAAGCGAAAACGCAGCCAGCCTCAGCATTTCACCTACGCTCCACTGGCATGTAAGAAATCTGCTCCAAATCTGTGTTACTCTTCAACTTAAATATTGCTCAGTGTCATCTGATTAGTTTATCTTTCTCCTTTTAGCTCCGTACATTAAGGCAGAGCCTTTAGATGAGTATGAAGCAGACCACATGGGCTTTGGGGGACCTCAGATTTTAGGTTTGCCCCCTCACTCTTTTTGCCATAACCCTCGCAGTGTCCTCCACCCAGACAACAGCCTGGTCTCTGGCATGACTTCTTGCCAACGTTTCAGCTCCAGCCTTCCAGGCCAAGATTCACGTTTCCAGCACCAGAGCCCAGCTATAGTCTACTCCCGCGGAGGAAGGAGTCTTAGCGTCAGCCCCGGCACTTGGCAAACTGATGGGCCAATGCCTGAACCCCACCGGTCAGTCCTTGTCCACACAGGCTCACCAGTTCACTCTGTTGGTCCCATCAGTGCAGTTCAACACCCTTCCATCATCCAGTTCTCTACCACCAACCACCACCTGCTGCAAGCGGGAGATGCTCAGACGCTTCCTCCCTCTCAGCCTGATAACCATCAAATGATCTACTGCGACGGCTACCCCCCACAGTCTGCCTCCCAGTCCCCCACACATCCCCAGGCCCAACCAGTGGGGACCCACCCACAGCCCTGTCCCACTGTGATTCAGCCAAAAGTCCGGGTCCCGTCTGGAACCGGGCAGATGGAAGCTCCAGAAGGCGCACAAAGACGTGTGACGGTCAAGGAGGAGAACTTGGACCAGGCCTACCTAGATGATGGTGAGTGTAAGTTCATACTTTCATGCTTTGTGTGAATGGTTTGTGTTCGTCGAGTGCAATAATGTGGAGAGGTGGACGAAGTGGGAGTAGGCCAACAGAGTGATGGATATGTGCATGAAATAAACTGATGATAAGACCTGTCGGCAGAGATATGAGTTCTCCTGAGAACAATTCAAGGATATTTACAGTATCTGGGCTGTCTCTCACTACAGCCTGCACACTGTATTATCCTCTTAACAAAGAAAAAACTTAAAACAATCCATGCCAAGAGGTGTTCCATTGAAAGAGGAAATAATGGTGAGTTGAGTCATATGTTTATACTTAACGCTTGTCAACCTATTACCCTCTGAGAGAATTAATATCCTTGAGTTGAAGTTAAAGGTTCTCCTCGCTCATTCATCTTCAATAATAAAAGCAGAAGAGTATCCACATCAACTTCAGTTTGTGTCTACTGGTTGAAGTTTCACCCTGCTCCAATCAACAACAATCTGCTGGTTTCAGGGTTCATCTGGCACCAGTACACATCAGGAAACGTCTTTTTTTTTCTTTCTCAGAGCAACAACAGAGCTAGAGGAAGAAAAGAGTGTCACTTTGCCGACCGCCTGGACATGTTGACACTGTTATGAAGCGAAAAACAGCTTCCATGGCAACCATTGTCAACCAGTGGAACATGCTGCCTGGGAGAACTGGGGAAAGCCTTTTTGTTTGTTATAGTTGGCCAGGATTTCTCCTTGGCCTTACGCCCCTCGATTCTAAGAGAGAGCCCACCAGAGACCTGTTTTTTTTTCCGACCACGGGATTCTGACAATCTGGCACAAGGAATTCCTATTTGCAGCTGCTGCCCTCCAGAAATCCCGCCTGATCGCTGTAAGATAGCAGGAGGGTGGAGGGGAGTTTGCAGGAAAAGGGAAGGGGCTGTGTGCATTTGTGTGTGTTTCAGTGGAAAAAATGAAACGCAGCGAGAGAAAAAAAACGAGTAATGGAATTTGTGTTTTTTGGATGAGACTTGCAGGGCTTCCCTCCACAGTAAACAGCAACAGGGCTGTGAGCTGCTGAATTAACAAGGAGCTGGAGAAACAGTCCCAGTGGAGCCCTTTTTGATCCTCCCAGCTTTGAAAAGTGATCACAGCCGGTCAGTTTCCGAAGCTTTGACTCAGTTCAAATAAAACACGTCTGTCCTCAGAAAACTTGTTTTATTTAAAGCTGTTTCATTAAAAACACCAAAAAATAGTATAATCATGGTACATCGTTAATAACTTGTGTCAGAAAGTCAAATTCAGAATGCATTAACTGAGCTGAGATTCGTCTAACAGGTTCAGCTGTTTGTGTCATCGCTGCTTTACTGAGAGGAAGAAAGGAGGGATTTCCCAACACTAAGAACAAAAAAACAAAAAATCCCTTTTTGTTTGTCTGTAAAGTGTAGAAAGATTATCTCAGATCTTTAAAGGTGGAATTATCAAAAGCGTTTTCATCAAAGGGAGATTGTCAACATGACTCATCTGGACATCACTTCTGAAAACAGAAAGAAAAAGATGCCACATCCTCACATCACAGCACTGTGATCAAAAAACTGCCACATTAACCTGACTCACTTTGACTTTAGAGGCAAGAAAATGAAAGTCTTGTCCATTTTGAACCAAATTTTCTTACGTCTCCCCCACAGAGGGCTCAAATCATCTGCACACATTAATTCTCACCGTGATTTTTTTGTTTGTTTATTTCAGTTAGTTGGCCAAACTAAAGTACAATTATGTAATAGGGATAATTAAAAAAAACTCTTAAATAAACTTTTTTAAACTAAAATTGGCATATTTTTTATTAAGGTTGAAACAGTATTTTAAAAATCAAGTCAAAATATCAAAAATGAAGTTGTTTTGTGATTAATATTGGAGGTACACAAAGTTTGATTAACTACTAGGGAATGCCTCAGGAACGAATCAGGAGCTAATGGGTAGTTAACCAGTACTTACTGGGGAACACACAGCCAAGCCTTATTAGGGGACTACTGGTTTGTTACCACAGAAACAGAGGAGAAATTCTCCATGTGGGTTCTGAACAAACCCTGCACCAGTGAGGTCACAGCTCGTAATTGTCAAAAACTTGTTTCCTAGTGATTACTGATTTTATTGGATTTTCTCTTTTAGACATTATCAGTTTCATAATCTTGTACTGCTGTCATCTTAACTATGTTTCTGTGGTAACAAACCAGCCGGTCAAAGCAGATGGCCACTTGTCCTGAGCCTGGTTCTGCTGGAGGTTTCTTCCTGTTAAAAGGGAGTTTTTCTTTCCACTGTTGCCACTGTGCTTGCTCAGGATGGGAGACTGCAACAAAGCCAAGATTCAACTTGTCTGCTGGATTCCTTAGAGAGAGAACTTTACTAATTGGCTTTTATGTGAACGTTTCTGTAAAGTGCCCTGAGCCAACTTTGTTGTGATTTGGCACTTTATAAATAAACTGAATTGAATTGAATTAGTCCCCTAATAAGGCTTGGCTGTGTTCCCCATTAAGTACTGGTTAACTACCCATTAGCTCCTGATTCATTCCTGATGCGTTCCTGATTCGTTCCCCCCACTAGTTAATACATTTTATGTACCTTATTGTGAAGTGTTACCAAATTGGAATAAATAAATAAAAACTATAATTATTACAAAGATGTACAAACCCAAATGTTTTTAATGAATTTTAACTTCAAATAAGATTTAAATAAAAAGAAAAACATAACTTATAGTCTTACATTGTAACACATCTGGAGCCAAACTTTTCCTGTAAATAACTTCTCGATACTTCCAGTAGTTTAGGCTGCAGCACGTTTTACTGAAAATCTCAACACTGTATTTTTTGAGACTCTTATTGTGAAAAAACAAAAGGAGTTCTGTGAGTTGCACTGCTGCACAACACACTGGCTCAAAAAATACTTTGTGGTATTTTATAGTTTACCCAGTAAAAATGCAAACATGACCTTCAGCTACAATAAAAATAATGTTGGACAAAATACACAATAAGTTTGTTTCGTTGGGTTTAAGCTTAAAACATTTAAACCTTTTTCATTCATAACATCTTTCTTTAACCTTCAAACTCTGAAACAAAAAGTCTTTTTATTTTTTTACTTCTCCTAAGATGCCATCATTTTAGGAGCCTTTTTAAAATAAAGGTCAACAATATGTGGCGTTACTGCACGACCCAGTTAGAAAAATCCAACTTAAAGAACAACTGGAAAAGCCTCTAAAAGCTGGGACTGACAGGTTCAGTGGGTGTGGAATAAAGCCTGGAGGCAGTGGAGCAGGTGAAATTGTTCCAGCAAGTGTTGATCAGGCCAGGAAAGATAAAGCACACAGCAGCAGGCTGTTGGACACACATTAGTCTCAGCTCACTTCCATCTCAGTCTGCAGCTTTCTCAGCCACGCTTCAACGATGGCTTCAGTTGGTGACGGTCTCAGAGATTAGATGCAGGATCTGTAGGTTTCTTCTCTTTACACGATGAGGAGATCTCTTCCAAAGAAACTATATTGTAAAACAAGGGGGTCAAGAGTTTTGCATTTTATAGAGATGGTGACACAAGGTTAACATTTTCACATAAAATACTAGGTTTTTGTCAATAACTGATGTTTGGTTTAAAAGCATAGTTCTTAAAATGTTGAAAAATGTCACAAATCAAATATTATTAAATTTTTTTAAATTATAAATTATTTGACATTACAAATTTTGAAATTGCGACTCTGTGAATGCATGTCGCCCGCTACCTTTCATGTCAGATTTTCAGACTAAGATCATCAGATGTTGAGAAATGTCAGAACCATTTTAGCTTTGGCTTTTACCTCAATATCTCTAAATTCACTTATAGCCATTTTGTGTGGGCCAAAGTTGACGAGCGGTGGTGACCATCGTGACTTTGATTGAATCCAACATTTGATCAGTTGTAAATGTTCATCCAATGATTACTTTGTGAGCGTTTCACTAAAATCTGTCTAGTGGTTCATTAGATATTTTGCTGACAGACAGACAGCTCCAACAATTAATGCTAAAGTTTTAAGCAAAGTTGTTGTGCCATGTGTAGCACTCAGATTTCATGTTGGGGACCCTCAGCTACTACCTTTAAATTTGACCCCAGTATCTGTAAATTTTACCGAGTCACAGCTAGTTTTGTGTTTCTTAAGGGTGATTAACCGTGGCAGCCATCTTGAATTAAGTTGACTCCAAAGGTCAGTCAGTTGTAGATGTGCAATATTAGACCTAATACTAGACAAACGTCCCTACTTTTATTGTTGCTGGGAATTGAATCCAACGGAAATTGATTTACGAAAGCTGCCATTATGCATTTTTGTAACCAGTTTGTGCACTAGCTACATTTAAGTCTCCATTAGTTCCCATTGATTATTATTATTTTTAGCAAGGGCAATGTCTTGTCCATTTACACGGGGTAGGCGGGACTTAAAGCTAACGCTGACTGTCCCATTCCAACTTCATTTACCAGGTTCCTTTCCAATGCCAATCATAGTACCAGACTTTGATGGACATCCACTAATTATTTATTTTAAGTAATTAATTCTGAGAGGTTCATTAAAATCCATCCACTAGTTTGTAAAAAAAAATAAACACCCCCCACCCCCCACACATGTGCAAAAACATTCTCTCACAACTGGTTTTGTTATTGCACACCTTTTGGTTTTTGGCAGCGGGTGATATGAAGATCAGTAACCATCGCTGCTTTCCTTGGACCAGAGCTTTCTTTAAGTTGGACTGAGTTAGAACTGAGGGCTTAAAGTCAGTAGAAATTGATCTATAGCTCTAACATTTCCTGCCAGCTTTTGAAAAACACCAGTCAAATGTTGTTTATAATGATCAAACCTTGCAACAGTCTTTTAAAAATGGAATATCTTGCTGATCTCAGCAAAAACACACATGGTGTTGGAGAATAGTTCTGAAAAAGATCCTGAGTGCAAAATTAAACTCTGTTGTTTCGAAGCTGCACATAAAGACAAATCATTGGTGAATTATAAAC